TGAAACCTCTTGTCAAATTGTACACCTTTTCTAGCCTGAAAATAATTATCTGCTAGTTCTGCAGCATTTAAGCCTGATTTAGGTTTGTGCTCTTTAACCCAAATTTGTACCCCTGTGGGCATAATTTCAACTAATTGTTCTGCCAAATCATCTTTACTTTTTCTCCTGGTTTAGCCCACTTGGTAAATAAATCCTTTAACTTTACATACATATCTTTCCTCAGTTTTCTCTCTAATAGCCCTAAACCTCTGTCTATATGTCTCTTCTGTAATATCATACCTTCGTAATATGGCTTCTTTTACCTTGTCATAGTCATTGCTATCCGTCACCGGTAGTGCTACTTAAGCTGCGTGCATTGCCCGTCAAGTGAGGGATCAATTTCACCACCCAATGCTTCCTGCGCCACTCATAAGTGTTTGCAATTCGTTCAAACGTGGTGAGGTAGTTCTCAATATCATCACCCTCCGACAACTTTGCAATCTGAATCTCCTTCAGTTTCATAATGTCTTTAAGACGTTTGTCGTCGCTTTCCTTTCCGCTGTTTATCTATCAGCGTGGTTACCAAAGCCATTTGCTTGTCCATTTCTTGCTTGTGTAAGCGCTCTTGTCTCTCCATTTTTCCTTCTGTAATCGCTCATGTTTATCCATTTCTTTCTGGCGTAATCGTTCTTGTCTCTCCATTTCTTCCCTGCGTTGCTGATTCTGACTATCCATCATCTGCCTTATCAGCTCCTGCTGCTGTTGTTGCATGTTGTGACGTTGCAGGTGCATTTGCTGTTGCATAATAGACAAGTCACTGCCTTGAGGGTTAGGTGCCACAGCGTCCTCTGTATTCTGTTCCGAATGTTGTGACTGAACAGATTCCTCGTCTGTGTCATGGTTTTCGTCACCTTGAAACTCCTTACCGGATCTAGTTGTTGATTGTCCATCAGCCATAATTCAATTTGGACGAGGGTCTTGTTACTAGTAAATCGTGGTTACCGATACGTTCACAGGTCTACTGCTCCAAATATAAAGAGTAATGTCCACCGTCTAAAACAAATTACAGACTACTTACTACAATTATAGAAAATTCACACAGTTCGTTGAACAAAACGATATAAATCCTTGGTTACAGCAGAACACGACCACAACTGCTACTATATGTCATGCAGTAGAACAACCACTGCTGTCACAATATATGTCATGAATTCCTACTTTACGTATTTCCAAGCGGTATAGAAATGACTAGGAATCCCTCTTTGACATATAAAATATAAACACAGCTCACAATGTTGTAAAAAAACTCTCAAATAAACTTTTATTCTGTATAAACTTCAACAAGAATCCGGTATCAAAATAATACAACAACATTCACATAAACATGTGTTTCAAAAAGAGCTCCGGAAAGATAAAACTGTCAGCTTACATACCCTAGCTGTACAACTCCAGAGCATTCAAGAGCCTTCTACATTGCCTAAGTTCCCCATTGGTTACCTTACATCATATTAACCAATTAGGCTTATTTGCCTCTAAAGTACCAAAGATTCCAGAAACTTCCAAATATTACTCTTGGATTCTACATGGTGCCATGTGTACCTAAAATTATTAATGTGGTTTACACTGTTTCTTTGATCAATTAAATGTTATTCTAGAATGTTCTATGTATTAAATATGTTAAAAAAACGGAAAAGAATGGTAAGTATTACAATAATATAAACAAATAGATAAATAATACTCAAATTGGAACATGATGTTATAATCGTAACAAGCATAGCCCTTGTACGAAATGTTAGGTTCCTTATTTTCAGATGAATGAAAGTGTTTACTCTTTAGCTGTTGCTTAAAAATTTGTATCTCTAATCATTGTTGTTTTCCAGCATTTTAAATTATATTATATATTTTTCTAAATATTTATTATCATCTATATATCAGTAAAACGTATATGGAATTATTTGATCATTCTATCGATTATTGTATGTTGTGGTCAATAAAAAAAAACCCTACCTGACTGCTCTTGCGAACTTGTGACACCTCCGGTACCTGTAAATGATATAATAGTTTGGCCGTATATTTGTAATGGTATTGATACTGTTTAAATTGATTATTGAAGAAAACACAAACAATGTAGCATTTGATTATTATGTGTAGTGTTAAATAAAAAAAACATATTACCTCCGGTTGGTTGCGAACTGGATGCACCGCCGCTACCTGTAAATGATATGATATTTTGCGTCTAAGTATTAGTATTGATATTATTTTAATTGATAGGAAGCAAAAAAAATATTTTATCATTATATTGATTATTATGTGTGTAGAGTTAATTAAAAAAATCTTAACTCCAGCTACCCGCTGTCGCGAACTAGATTCACCACCGATACCTGTAAATGATATATTTTCCGTCTAATTCGACATACAGTTGTATTGGTATTGCTATTGTTTAAATTGATTTTTTTTAAATATGTGATCCAGAGAAGGTAAACGTAAGGCCAGGCAAAGCCTAAAATTAAGAAAGAGAGAGTAGATTGATATTACGTTTAAAAGGTTATATATTATAAGAAGCTCGAAAAACACAAGCCCGTACGCAGAATTTTTTTTTTTTTTTGGTGGGTGCGAATTTGTGGAAGGTGGATCAAAATAGGGGGGGGTGGGGAATGACATAACCCTCGTGACGTCGAGTGGGCGGAGCCCCTTTGCGCCCAGACATTCTTCAATTCTTCATATTTTGAGGTCTTAATAGATGTTGAAGATGCAATATGAACTAAGCATTAGAAGTTTTTATTCGGTGACAGTGGACCAGGGAGGGACTTTTAGAGATGAAGGGTCGATATGGTGGGGGCTGAGGTATGCCACTCTAAGACTTCAAATTTGAATATAATTTTCTTTTTATTCACCATTTAGTGGGGAGGGGGGCTTCCCCATCCCCTGAATCCGCCACTGGATTGGACAGCAAACATTATTCCGTGTTTTTATTTTCCAATGTTCTGTGTAGTCAAAATTGTTGATAGGCCTAACGGTGAATATATCTACTTTGTGCTGTTTTGTTTCGGATTTTCACTGCATATGTCAACATACTATGTAAAATTATAACACAAGGTAAATAAAACATTATCAAATTTAAACGTAAAAGAAATAATGTAGGTCTATAGCGCACAATGAAAAAAGCCTATAATATTAATGGGCATTGAAAATAGGCCTACTATATTTTTACCATAAATGTAAATGTTATAAATAAATATAATTAATGGAAATTACGAATATGAACAAATAATTACATGAATTTACGTCATGGGAGATGGGTAGACGTCAAAAATATATAAAATAGAAAATTGATAAAATAAACATAGGCCTATACTGATCTTAAATGGAACAGGGTAGGAAAAGCAAAAAAGCCGTTTGTTGTTGTTTTGAAGAGTATACGTCCACCACCTTACCGGGCCAGGGAGGGACTTTAACATATGGGGGCCATGGCGGATTCAGGAATTCGAAATAGAAAGGGTCTAGGGAAACTCTAAAATTCACAGAAATAAAGACCCGGGTCCATCCACCTAGATGCCCGGAAATGGCACTCGCGAAAATAAAGGTAATTCTAGTGAAAACTATAGAGCCGCGAGCGGTGGAAAAAAAACACAAATACTTCAAAGCTTAGGCCTATACTATATACAGTTAAAAGTCCTTGTTTGTAAGACAAATTAGAGGCAGTCCTAGTTGGAAACTGTTCTGATTGGTCAAGGAGTTTTGGTGGATGGATTCCTGGAACATGTGAGAGTGCGTCTTGAATTTTATTCCCCGGAAAATGTGGACCTTTGGACCTTTGCCCCCCCCCCCTGCGCACGGGCCTATGTGATGGACGTTTATTCAAAAGAACAGAACTTCTGGGAATGAATTAGTTAAAATGCGACAAAGTACGGAAAGTGGGTGTAGAAACAAATTATTTGTGAAAACGCGCAAAAGCTCGGGTTGACCTAAAAGGGACGTGTGACCAAAAACTTGTTTATAAAACACAGATAGTGCTAGAACTCGACGGCGTGTTCGAGAGGCTGTAAGGAGCAAGAAAATGAAGCATAGTTTGTAAGGCGTACAGCTTTGACTTGGATTTTGTCCAGGCGGGATAAAACGGAAGGATGAACTCCTCCACGTACCGGGGAGCAGTATTCTGGTTGAGAGCGAATCTGGCAAGTACGTAGATGGAGCAGAGGGTGAGAAGTATTTACGAGCACGAAAGATTGCACGCTAACCTGAATTTTGAGAGGCTCGTTTGGCTGGGTTTTGGATATGGTGACTCCAACGAAGAGTAGACGATACAGAGGTACCAAGCTATGAAATAGAATTGGTCAGACCACAGATTCAGACGAAGTTCAACTTGACCCATCGAGATCACAGGAAAAAAGTGTTTTGATTACGAGCTGATCGGTTTTCATGCTGTTGAATTGTACATGGTTGTCTTTAACACATTTGCACACAATTACTAGATTCTGAGAAAGAATATTAGCTGCTGTAGATCTTACGGCAGAAACACAAATAGGATTGGCGGAAGCTTGAGTCCGAAAACTGAAGATAAACTTAAGTAGGTATCGTCAGCGAAAGAGGAAAGTTTCAGTTTGGCAATCAGGCCTTTATGCTTTCATCAAATTTTCAAAGCGCAAAGGACCAGAGGTAAGTGACCAAGAAAAGCAGATCGCCAGTTGACATTGCATGATAAAAACTATACTAGTGATCAGAAATAAGTTCTTAAAATTCAAAGAAGGGAAGAATTAAGAGAGTTGCAAATAATGGACTGAGAAACTTTAAAAAGTAGGGAAGTGATGGCAATGGGTCGATAGGTAAAAGGTAGGAGAGTACCCTTAATAGAGTCATTGTGCTGAATTGCTTATGGGCCACAGCAACAGGGGCTAAAATCAACGCACGGACGCACATGCATGGGACGATTGAAGTGCTGAGCACGGCTTAGGAACCAAATGAATGCTAATTAAAAGAGGTAGTATTGTTATTAATTTGTACCTACGAAAGCAAACTCATATCTACAGGAACTGCCTTAAACCTTCTAAGGAACATTCCCTCAAGAGACAGCTAAAATTTGGTCCAGATAAATCACTAATTCGATACAGACCTAAGACATGTACAGAAACAACTTTTAAAAAAGCTCCAGCAGAACCATAGAATATATAGAATATATTTGTCTCCCTCTAATTAAAGACTCCCTCAAGTTAAAGACCACTTTTCTGTGGTCACATATTAAAATATTTTGTTTATCTCTACTATTCTAATTTGAGAGCAAAATTGTTAAAGACAGTGGAAACCCCGGTTCCAAGGCCTTTAATTAGAGGGAAACCTGTATAAGAAAAATACAAACTGACCTTGAGCCGGGACTTGCTGCCTTCTGACATGTGCTTTCAGAATCTTATCCTATTACAACAATTATTAGAATATAATTATAATTATAAATAAAGGTGCAAACAAAAATTATAACTTTGCATGTGGAATAAAATAAGGAAATTTATGTATCTCAGTTTGATATTTTGGGCTCAAGCATTGGGACCGTCGGTCCGCAGTGCAACGTCATAATATTTTGATGTGAATGCTCATACCGCAAAAATAATATTAGTATTGTATCAGGAGGTGGTATCTTAAAGTGTCTTTTCAGGACCGATGTTTTGGCCATCAATTGCTTTTGTGCCCAAGATTAATGCTTATTAGTTATTTTAACATTCTATCTTTTTAACGCTGATTTTTCCTTACCATTTTAACATTTGATCTTTTAAACTACCCTCTTGAATGTATTGGTTTTAAACATGAATAATTCGACTGCTCCTGTAGTCTTTGCCAATGCCTGGCAGACAACATTTTTCCCGACGAGAACGTAACTAGTCGTGGTCGGGCGTTTCTCTCAAACCTCTTGGAAGTATTCCATGAGACGTAGCCTCGGAAACTATGGGAATTTAGGGTTTTCAAAGGGATATGCCCTATTTAATCGAGTTTAGACATAGTGTATTTTTCTCAACGACAAGGGTGGGGGGAAAGCTCTTCTCGTCGGGACCCTTCCCCTCCCATACTGGTGCCACCCTTGGCACGTGCATAGATGTACACGTGTCAATGGCTGTACACGTACCGTATAGCTTAAACAATAAAATTCTCACCTTGGTTAGATTTAAAACTCGGGTTAATTCCGTAAAGTTTCCTTCAAATTTCCCCTCATCGGTGAATTTCACATAGATATTTTTTTTTTCGAATTTTTTAAGCCATGAGCTTTCGTCAATTTCAAAATCTTCCATGATCAGTGCAACAAATGGTTTATCATATTTCAGAATGCAATCACATTCTAAAATTAAATATACATAAAATATAAAATAGACAAACAACATTCATAGGGATGACAATATTAATGATTTTTCGGTGAACATTTTAAATTTCATTAATAAAATAAAATAAAATAAAATTTTTGGTTTTTGAGATTGCCAATGTAATATGCACGACGTATAATCTTTCATTATGGCTAACGCCAATTTAATAATGGTGCGTATTTGATCGTTTAACGTGGCTATGTTCTCACACGGCTGCTAACATCCTGCTAACCGTTAGCTGCCGTGCGTCCATACGAGAAAATCCCGATCCGGATTCTAAAAATATGATGATCAAATCACTGGCCAATAACAAACTGGAAATTGTAAACGCGTACACGTGTGATTGGTTGATGAAAGAAACGCGCTCATCATGCTAACCGATAGCGCTTGCTAACTGTTAGCGGTATCCGGATACTGCTAACGGTTAGCGCTAACAGATCGGGCATTCTCACGCAGGTGCTAACGGTTAGCGCTAACGGTTAGCTCCTGATCCGGATACTAGGGCTCTCGTGAAAACCAGGCTAATGTCTCTCCTAATGATGGTTTTTATAAATAGAGCTTGTGATTAATTGATTGATTACTACATCCTGCATGTGCATTATGCTGTCAGGGCTTTATTAATCAGTGATAATACACTTAAAACAGATGGTTCAGACGATTGATTTAGATTTAAATTATGTCATATGTATTGTACACTTCACCTATATAAGTGTTGATTAATATCCTTACCGAATTTACAGCTATCACTTTCTTCATATTTTCTGGATAAACAGATAAGAACTATACCAGCGTCGCTTACTGCTTCCTCCATTGCTGGCGAAAGGGGTCCAACCATTTTCTCGCTATCTATCCATACATCATAACCCAGTCTTCTTAATCGATCTTTTATTTTGTTTACAATCCTAAATATATGATAAAAATATATGATATTATTATTGATACATAGATTAATAATAAATAAATATTATAATCATTAATTAATTAGGCATAATTAAATAAAATAAAAATAATGATAATACCTGTAATGATAATTTATTGTAATATGAAACAGAACCACGAGTGAACATAACAGGCCTAAGTTAATGAACGAACTTGGCAGAACAATTTGTGCCGACTAAAATGAAACTTACTTTATTCGAAACTGCGCATGCTGTCGGTATCAAAACTGTGATCCCATAACAGAAATGAAATATTTTCCCAAAATGGAATTTCAAACGATATTACATTTGCGATGATATTTTCTATCAGCTGTCTGCTTATATGTTATGTTTTCAATATTTTATTAATTAAAATATAACTTACTTCTTTTGTTGATGATTGTAGCTTAGCATCAATCCTAGTTTCTAGAAAATATATCAATAAATGGTAAAAATTCATGGTACTCCCAGATACATCTCATACAAACAACAGTAAACATCTTAATATAAGCACAGACACATACTGTACATGTTAAATTGACTTTAACAAAACTCAAGTTTTAATTATGTTACGGTATGCATCAAATAGATTTAGATTAAAAGACAAAGAGATCAAAACCCTGCTCCAACATCTATCAGGAATTCACCAACCTTGATAATGCAAAAGATTCAAGGTAAATTTAGCAATTTTAATGCTTACGACATTGTTTTCTTTATTGACATTAATTTTAAAAAAAACCCGTTAAACTATGGCCATACGGCCGGCTGCTTAGACCTACCGGATCTTTTACATTCAAGCCACTGCTCACTGGAAGACCTGAAATTAATAGCAAATCACTAATAATAATGATGATAATAACAATAATAAATAAATAAATAAATAAATAAATAAATAAATAAATAAATAATAATAATAATAATGAGGATGATGATGATAATAATAATAATACAATTGTATTGCTATTAACATCAGCATCATCATCACCACAAACATAATCATTATCATTGTTATTATTATAAATATTGTTTTTACATTATACCTACTTTTTTTCTCGTTTTTTTACTATTTTGCACAATTATTATAATAGCAATTTTTGACAATGTTGTAATAATGAACGAAACGTAGAATCAATTATGGCCTTACGTTTGCCATTCTTCGGAGTTCATCATGGTTTGTTCCAAAATTGGTAGGCTTAATCTTTCCCTGCATGCGCCTCCCTCCCTTTGTATGATGTTTTGGCTTTTGTCTTATTTTTTGTTGAAAAAGTCTTTTTTTTATTATGTTAAACTTCAATCATATTTTATCAGTGATGATTCCAATAAAGATTATTCGTATATTAAAAACAATAATTATTATGATTCAGATATTAATAATTTTACTTCTTCCTGTAGACTTAGGCCTAAATTGGTACTTATTTATAACATAATAAATAAATCATAGTAACTTAAAATGTCGTCAGAAGGGAAGCATACACACATCGATAAACACAATAAGTGTTGACTTTAAATAATCTCTTATCGAGTGCTTTAATACAGAGAAGCAGTTTTGCATATTTACGGTACATGTAGAGTGCAAATATAATATTACAGGCAGCCTCGGTAGGCTGGTAAAGCAAATGTTGCGACCAGACATGCGCAGATTGTGTGCAAACCACACCTTTGATAAATAATAATAATAATAATAATAATAATAATAATAATAATAATAATAATAATAATAATAATAATGTTAGTCGCTTAATGCAAAACAGTGCTTCTAAGCGCTTTACACAAAATGCATTCGAGAAATGGAAGTACCAAAGTATAAAGTACAGCGTACTCCGGTTAAAAAAATGAAACATAATTAGGCTATGTATAGGTCTGAAATCATCTCATTAAATATAATTATCATCGTTAAGTATACATAATAATAATAATACAAAATAAATACAGTAGTAGGCCTGCATAACATGGTAATACCATGGAGAAAATATAATAATATATTTCCTCCATTATAATACTAAACCTATGAAGCGAAATATCATTAGGCCTACCTTCATTTGATGCCATGTTATATCATGTAGTTGTACCGATTTTTTTCTTAGAAGACACTGTCGATAACCTAAACATGAGAAATTAATGTATTATTATACTAGATTGTATATTTGGCCAATGTTACATTTTTGTAAGCAACGCCACACTCAATAGACTTTTTTTAATGCATTTAAAAATGCGATTAAAACAATATCCATGCTTTAGAGGTTGAAGGCTATTACAATACACTGAGTATTTAATTTAAAGGAAGAGAGTACAGTATAGTAATACCCAGTGGCGGCGCCAAGAATTCTCCAAAGGGGGATCGAAGATCCCCAACGGGGGGAGGGGGCTTATGTGGTCGAACGTTTCGAAAGTGGTCCAGGGGACGTGCTCCCCCCCCCAAAAAAAATATGACAATTTAGGGGTTTCAAAGGCTTATTTAATAGAATTTAGAGTCTATTATGTACAAAATGCATATAATTTTATTGATTTTTTTTTCTCTCCTATGAATTGTGGTTTTTCTCCCCGACGGGGTGGGGGAGGCCTCCCCGGGGGAGGGGAACTATAGCCCCCTAGCTCTGCCACTGGTAATACCTTATTAACGGAAATTATGAATATATATGTCAATCACTGTTCCTTTATTTATTAATGATATACATTAAATAGAATTATTTGCTTATTTTGGAACTGACTTTTAATACATATTCACGCTTCGTGGACAGGGAAAAGCAAACTATGCGTCCAGGGGTGAGACATATAACATACCCCTAAGGTGAAATGCTTTCTGCGTAAAATCCTATTTGCTTAGGTTGACGAAATAAAAAAAAAATCTATCACGAAATCCAGATGATGATTATGATAAAAATTATAATGTCGTCAAATACCGTATAATCATACATACAAATATTAATTATTATATCTAAACTTTATAGGCCTATTATTAGATTCATATTTGTGTATGCCGATACTGTACTTGCAATTTATGTTATGATAATCAGTATACAGATGTTTAACATTGCGTTTTTTTATGAAGATTGAAGTTACTTTATATATACATATATATATATATACTATATATATACAGTAGTATATAGTATATATATATATATATATATATATATATAGATTAAAAGGCAAAATACTGGAAAACAACAATGCTGTGGGAAACAATGGCTGGATCTCAGTAGAGATACAAAAATGATAAGCAACAGCTAAAAAGT